ATATAAATTAATTATATAGATATATAATGTAACGTGAAAAAAATATGTTTTAAATTAAATTCTTACGAAGTATCAATTGCGGGGACAGACATAAATGGGTGTCTCGCAACGTAGCTGCTTATATAAGTGGAAACGTAGATTGGTCCAATAGTGAAAACTGCCAAAATTGCGAGGAAACTCACGATAGTGCAAAAAGTCCAGAGGATAACTTTTAGATGTCTAGATATTAAAATTTTTAGACATTCTCTAAATGTTTCTCAGGTGTCTAAAAGATATTTCCTGGAATTTATTTATAGAAACACACACACACACACACGCGCACGCACACACACACACACACACACACAAGATAAAGAAACGCGTCAGAAATAGGTAATTATTGTAAATAAAGTCATCGCTCAATACAAAGCAACACGCCGACTACCGCTAGAAATTTAGAGAATTTAAACTATGCAAAATCTGCGGCGATAGTTAACGTGTTAGCCTAACGAAAAAATCATAAATAAAATATAAATAAAATCATAAATATAATAGAAAGTAAAAATTCGAAATCTAGATTCATTGCGTAAGGCAACATAAATCAAGAAATCATCATCTAAAAAATAATTTAATTTAGATCAGATATCATTCAGAGAATTGTTTTATCTGGCACTTTTATGTTATTCGGAATGCGATTAGACATGAATTAGAAACCGTAACGTTGTTGTTTTGCCTCGTTACACAAAAAAATGCACCCGGATGTGTATCATATTTCTTTTTCGAACGGGTGGATTTCCCAGCAAACGAGAATGAATTAAAATGGATTGAAATTTTTTTCTATCCGAATGCGTATTTTAAATAGCGAATACTTTTTTTAAATTTAATTGGATTCAATTGGATTCAATTAGATTCAATTAGATGTAATTGGAGTGAAAAACTGCATTTCCTATTCAAAATTTTGAATTGAACAGTATTCACAATGCATAGAAAAAGCCAATATTATTTTTAAATTGAAAGGCATAGAGATATGCAATTTCTTTAAATAAATAAAAATGCATTCAGGATTGAAAAGCATGTATTTTAACATGCGTGAATCAATATTTTTAAAAATCTGAATCCATTTCAATCCATTCTCGTTTGCTAGGTTCAGAAATGTATTGGATTTTTTAGCAACAGAACGGTGTCATAAAGGTCTTGAAAGCAATAGTCGGCAATGAAACGCCAAAAGGCGAACGTGCCAATTAGTTCAGACGTAGATTAGATTTCCTGGCCTTACCTTAGTTTACTGTCCCACTTCCCTCAGGAAATTCATTCTAACTGTAGACGGAATAAATACTGTATCTATGTTTCTGATTTTGGAATGGCAAAAGAAATGCTGTTGCTGTACGCGAGTTGCAATAGTTGAATACTTAATGGCATACAATGACGCAGAGTGATTAAGCATACTTAAAAATAGTGTTTATAGTCTCGTCGAACGTCATACTTGGTCGTATCGTGACGAGAAACCGCCGTGAATACAGTGTAAAATTAAGAAGCATGACCAGTGGTGGACCCACTGTTATAAGAATGAATGAGTGTGTGCATATCTTATTTATATGAATGTGAAAATAAATGAATCAAAGGTAATCGTAGCTGACAAATCTTTTCTCCTTCGGGACTTAGAATTCATGAAGCATCGTTCGCCTTAGTACGTAATTCCAAAAATCTACGATATTTATCGTTGAATATTCTATCGAAATATCGAGAGAAGGATAAAGAATAAAATTTAAAAAGTTCTTAAAAAAATATTCAATAAGGTATTATCAATTTTAACATCAAATGAAATATGCTTAATCTAAAGACAATAAAAAACTTATATGCATTTCTTACTGAAATGCATTATAAGAATTAGGAAGTAGGATGATATTAGTGTGGTAAATAAAAGTATAGCAGATCTGTATATTTCTTATTGATAGAAACTGATTTTTAATTTATTTGACATCCCATACTTTTAGCCTTTTTATTATTAAAGTCGAACAGGAACCCCTGTCTTATATAATTATATTAGATAAAGATTAATAATCGGAAATGATTGATTTTTAAAATCGTTATTTCGATAGACTCGACAGGTCGGGCTGAGTTTGCAAAAGCACGAATCATGTTTTCCACACGCACGCTCGGTCCGCCAACATTGCGTTAAAACAACCTATGTCTTGTATTTTACACATTTCGAAAATTTTATTTTTTTTACACAATTACAGTTAAATAGAGAAGACGGACGCCGAGGATAAATTCGACGAGTGTAGATTCGGTATAATATACCCCGCATAGAATTTTGAGGAGCAAACAATGTACACGGGAGATATGACTCTTATGTTACCAACATTTAAGAACCCGTTTCTCAATATGAGAAAGCTAGCATTAACTTTTAAGTGTTATGATCTCACTCTGGTATTAGACGGCATTTATATCTCACCGCGTGATGATGTTAACAACGCCTGTACAGTCTTTGCGTGTATCCATTAATCTTTTAGAGCACACACTGACAATTTCCTCTTTTTTTAAAGCTACGATAATTAATATTATATCTATTGGAGTATTTAATGCTACATAAAAGATAGATTACATTTACAATTTAAATAAAGCAAAGACGAGACAGCTGTCAAAGTTGGAGACAAGATGATTCCTTTGTGTCACGGACTTTCATTAGTACATCCATCATCCTGGCGGCACGCAGTAACCGCAGGTGAATGGAACCAGAAGATACGTTTCCTTAAATAACTAAAAATTCGCGCTTTAAATAATAACATCACTTGGAGCAGTTACAGTAGTGAACTATATCAATTAGATATACATATTAAACTTATATTATTCCTCACTGCCAAGAAAAATAAAACGGAACAGGTTGAAATCGTTCAGCGAATCAGTGAGTCAATAGACGAGTTTTTGATTTAAAGCTCCCATTCACCTGTTGCGATATTACGTATGTCGCATCCTAAGAATATCATCAGCCTTCCATCGAGTTTTATCAGTCCATCCTTCATTGTGCTTTTTTCCCGCGCGCCATGTAAGCTATATCGATGATATCAGCAAATAACTGTCTCAGAATTGAATCCACATATCACAGAGCAGTTCATATTCTGCCTTAAGAAGTTTTCCTCAATCGGATTACCTGGCCTGAATCTGCTCGGCCCTTACGTACGGAAATGTCAAGATTTTGCACTTTTTCTCTCGTCCGGCATTATATTTCTTTCTCATTTTTTACAGAGCTCGCTTTCTTAACGAGAAGTATAAAAAACTATGTACACTTTCTTGCGTTCTTACATATGAACTGAGTACGAATAACGAGTTGCCTCCCTCCATCTATTTTAACTGCCTGTTTTACTGCAGAATTTTACTATAGGTGGACGGGATAAGAAATCTCTTACTTTTATCATGCAAATGATAACATAATTCGCATAAGCAATCGATAATTCCTTTTTTAACGAATTAAATTATATACTTGTTGTTATATTCAATGATTATTTAACTATTATGATAATCAACTATACATATACATCTTGTATATGGACGCAAAAAATAATTATCTTTCTTTTTAATACTCACTTGACATCTCGCTTTGTACATTTACTTTGTACATTTCTACTTGTCTTCATTCTTTTCTTATTTCTATATTGAACGAGTTGAGGCTTGTTATGTCACAAAAACAATATCAAAACTTTCCTTTGATTGCATAAGCAGCCAGGGTAATTAATAATTGTAGAACAGACCCGTCCACCGTTCTTTAAATGGCTGCGGCAATAAAATCGGATGCACTTTGAGGATCATACCAGGAGATTGAAATCAATGAACGAAATGCGACAGCCCATGCTGTTTTCTTCTTTCGTATAACTGTCAAAGTGTGTAACCAGAACTAACTTAGCTCAAAAACATATTTTACATTTTGGATATTTCATTAGACTTATAAATGACTCTCATAATGTACGTCATGTCTTTTTTAAACGTCCGACGATCCATTCCAGTCCCTGGTACAATCTGAAACATTTTTTATTATCATTTATTTTAGATCTTATTCCTGCTAGAAATAAGTTCATCACGCTACAGTCTTACCCTTCTCCAGTAAGGGCGCAACAGCTCTGTATATGCCACTGGTGTTTTTTGATAGATGTCAGATCCAATTGTCTTGAAATCTCAGCTGCAGTCATGCTGCCCTTTAAGTCTTGTTTGTTGGCATAGACCAGAACGTTGGCTTTACTCAATTCTTCATGGTTTAGCATCGAATAGAGCTCTTCCCTAATCATACCGAGTCTCTCTCGGTCAGTGCTATCTATGACCATAATGATAAATTCGGTATTCGTGTAGTAAGTAGACCAGGCAGCTCTCAAACTTTGCTGACCACCCAAATCCCACATGATAAAATGAATATTCTTCCACACAACTTCCTCTACGTTGGATCCGATAGTCGGAGACGTGTGGACAACTTCGTTCATCAAGAATTGATATAATATTGTTGTCTTTCCGGCATTATCCAAACCAACCATAACTATTTTATGCTCTGAAAACAATAAATTTTTATTACAAGGTCTGTTTCTTTATAGCTAAATTAGACTATATAAACAGATAAATATTTGAAGTTTGGTGAAAGTAAAATAGAAAGTTTTAGCACTATTCAATGCAGTGACAAAGAATAAATGTCTAATTTAGTAATTTTGATTTATATTCTTCTAAAGAGTATTATATCCTTCTAAAAAGTAAAGAATAATGTGATTAAAGTAGATCAAATTGAAATATAAATGGCAAAACCAGGATTTAAATTCAGGGGTCAAGTCTTCAGATATAGAATGTGATTTATGTTCCTTTCTAATAATGTAAATTAACTTTAATCTCAGTTTAATTTATTCTTTAGCCTTTTCTGATTCTTAAAACTAGAAAAAAAAGTGAAAAGTAAGTTAAACCAAGATTAAAACCCCTAATCTTAATCTACAGTTAGAAACAGGTATTAGTAGCATATGTTAACAGATTAGAGAAAGTAGGCCAATGTACATGCATAGAATTTTCAGTAAATATCATTTGACTCATCAAGTCTATATCAGATTCTTGATAAAATTGATGACTCCAAGAAAAAACGTTTAAAATAATACTCGTAAATTTCGTGAACATCTTATTGTAGGTCCAAAGTACTTTCCGATCGTATGACAAGTTTTACGTGTGAGTGCCTACCCTTTCAATTAAAATTGACATATCATAGATCGCTGATCGACAATTGGTCGATCACCTAGCACGTGTTACTACAAACATATACAATGATAACATACAAAAGGAGGGAAGAATTATGACTCATGGATCTTATCATAGTATTTACCTTCGTTGCCGAAGAAGCTCCACAGTTTCGCGAACAGCAGTCCCATGTTGACTGGTCAGATAGAGGCTAATCGAATATTATCCGTTCGACGTCACGAACTCACCGTCTCCTTAAGAGAATGACTCGGGAATAGGATGGTTCATTGTCTCTCGGAGGGGTTATGTTTGCTTCCGCGATGACGAAATGTCGTTTACATGCGACGACGGTTTACGGACCGACGTCATAATCGCGTTCGAACGTCGATGCGGACGCTGGCAATATGCAAATGCGATCGCGGTAACGATTGGAGCTGCGATGCGTGAACAATGGGCGAGAAATTGACGGAATACGCGAACAGCCTGTCTAGCTGTCTAGTTCAATCGGGCAAAAGTGCGACATGTTGCTCCTCTGTATGACAAGTGTCCGCACGCCCCGAGCGGGGCGCTATTACGTTCGGCAAAACTCAGCAATATTCGGCAATGTTCGGAAATGCTTAGTTCAGCCGGTAGTATCGATAGATTATAGTTCACGTTGTTTTATGAAGATGATGTTGGTGCCGCTAGGTAACGCTTGGCATTACGTATAATTTCAGTTTTTGCCACTGGCGACACTGCGATCGATTTAAAGTTTCTTCGACTAAATTTAAATTTTCGATTAATTTAATCAACTGTAATTGACAAGATTTATTTGTGATATTTTATTAGCATAGATATATAGAATATATAGATATATAGAGAATATATAGAGAATATATAGAATATACAGATATATAGAATTCTATATTGAATTAATTGGAGTTTAATCGAAATCGTCCCAACTCTGAAGTTTGCCACTTTCATTAATTAAAAAGATGACTCCGATTAAATTTCGATTTAATTATTCAAAATTTGGGTCGTTCTTTTACAGATCGACAAAAGCAGCAAACCAGCAGCAAACTTCGAGGATAATCTCGATTAAATTTCGATTAACTAATTACAAGTCGGAATGTAAAGATCATCCTTATTCTAAAGTTCTGCTATTTTGTTGATTTGTCGTAACTTTTTTGAATGGCTAATTATGTATATATGTATATTTATTACATTTTAAGTACAGAAAGTACAGCTGCAAAGAGTAGATCGTATTTCTTTTTCGATATAACACAACTATTCATTATATTTTGTTATATTTCTCCGATAATTTTAACAATCATTTTTCAAGGAACACGTAATCCGATTTTTCGCCTCTAAAATATTTTAAATGAAACTAGTATTTTCGATGAGAATATAATTTATTATTGCAGCTTTTTTCGAACGTTGCTGTAAAGAAATATTGCCTCGTCAGAAATTACTTAATCTAAAAATACAAGTAAATTTACAAAGCCGATAATATCGTAGAAAATTTTCTATAATTGCTTTAATGTCATTTAATCAATTTGTATCATCTTTCTGTTTTAAAGGAATTAATATTCAGGAGGTAAGGAATATTCAGGGCATGTGGCCACGAGATTAGATAAGTCTGTGTCGTGGCGGCATTTATGTTAAATGCTGCATCATCGTTATCACGAATTCTTCTGGCACAAGCGACGTGGTCTCGAGCACTGTGATTGGCTCACAATTTATCGGCTGACGGTGCAGAGAACGCTGTTTGCCCATACGTCCTTCGACGACCTGAAAAGCGACCACTTGTTGCTCCTGCGGTATTTGCTACAGCAGCCTCACGCTGTACATTCAGTTTTATTACATTCATCGTCATTGATCACGTCTGCGAGCCATCTACAAATATGAGTACTCAGTGAGTATTCTTCCATTACATCCCTATTTCATTCAAAATAATACAAAATGCTTTCTATTTAATAATATAAACACAAATATTGTTCTGTCTTTGTTATTCATTAAATTTAGAATGACGTGTTGACTTGTGTTATTAAGGAAAGTATTTATAGTCCATTCTTATATTTAAGATTGTCTTAAATTCAATTTTACGATCTCATGCAATGTCATATCTTAAAACATCACGTAAATTAAGATGATTTTAAGCGTAAAAATCAACTATGAATATTATTCATAGTTGCTTAAAATGAAAAGCATTTATAAGAAGCAAGAAACGTCCAAAGCTAAATCTTGAAGCCAAATAATGGGCCTGTTTTTTTTAATTGAACTTCTTGCAAATTCATCTTTTCTAATGTAGAAAAATATAAGTTCAACTAATATTAAAAAAAAGGTTTAATATTTTTATGTAAATTTTAACTATACCTCTCAGTTAAGTAAATCTTAAACAATGTGTTGATTATTGACTATTTATTCAAAATAGAACGGCAGCAAAAACTAATCAAAATTTGTTACTTAATAAAAGAGAGCTACACCAGATAGTATATATGTGATAGTATAGATGTAAGAAGAATAAAATCGAATTTTTTAATGAATTTTACATGAATTTTCAGGGTAGCAGATATTGCCCTCATTGGCTTAGCAGTCATGGGACAAAATCTAATTCTAAATATGAACGATCATGGCTTTGTTGTATGTGCATATAACCGTACAGTAGACAAAGTCAAATCTTTTCTTGAGAATGAAGCCAAGGGCACAAAGATTATCGGTGCTTACAGCTTGAAGGAAATGATCAATACATTGAAAAGTCCAAGGAGAGTGATGTTGTTGGTTAAAGGTAAGTTTCTTTTATTATCGCAATTAAAGCTCTATAATTGTAATTATAATAGTAATTGTAATTGCAATTATATATAATACAATTTGCTCTGATAACAGCTGGTTCAGCCGTGGATGCCTTTATTGAACAATTAGTGCCTCTTCTTTCTTCTGGTGATATTATCATTGACGGTGGCAATTCTGAATATCAAGATACTGAAAGACGTACCAAAGATCTAGAGCAGAAGGGAATTCTGTTCGTTGGCAGCGGAGTCAGTGGAGGAGAGGATGGCGCCAGATATGGACCGTCCTTGATGCCCGGAGGCAATCCCAAAGCTTGGTCGCATATCAAACCTATTTTCCAAGTATGACTTATCATTATTTAATAAAAATTTATGAAATTGTATAAAATTGTAATATCTTTTAGTTAACAAGTTACTAATAAGGTTGAGTGAAAGTACAAAATTCTGAGCAGTAATTTATACTCTAAAAATTAGATTATACTTACATTAATTAATAAGAACGTTCGAAATCTTTTAGGCAATATGCGCGAAGGCTAATGGAGAGCCGTGCTGCGATTGGGTAGGCGAGACTGGTGCGGGACACTTCGTCAAGATGGTGCACAACGGCATCGAATACGGCGACATGCAGATTATCTGCGAGGCGTATCATTTGATGCGAAGTGGCCTGCAGCTCACGCAGGAAGAGATGAGCACGGTGTTCGACGAATGGAACAGGAGCGAGCTGGATTCGTTTCTAATCGAGATCACGCGGGACATCCTTAAGTACAAGGATGAAAAGGGCTATTTGCTCGAGCGCATCAGAGACACTGCCGGCCAAAAGGGCACTGGCAAATGGACAGCAATCGCTGCATTAGATTATGGTGTACCGGTCACGCTGATAGGCGAGTCGGTCTTCTCCAGGTGCCTGTCTGCGCTGAAGAATGAACGCGTAGAAGCGAGCGCAGTGCTGTCTGGGCCGGATCCAGTATACAAAGGCGACAAAAAACAATTCCTCGAGCACTTAAGAAAGGCTCTATATGCCGCGAAAATTATCTCGTACGCGCAAGGCTTCATGCTATTAAGAGAAGCCGCCAAAGTTCATAATTGGAACTTGAATTACGGTGGAATAGCATTGATGTGGCGCGGTGGATGTATTATAAGAAGGTATGATGATCAAGAAATTTATGTCGAATTTATTTAATTATGTCAATGTTACGACAGTAATCCCTTTCATCACAACCTACATTTTCTTTTAAAGCGAGTAGCACATATCAGTGTCAAGGCTAAAATGTTTCTCAAGGACATTGTAGTCTAGCGTCACACAAACTTACATACAAGATAGCTCTCGTTTCTTTCAAATGCTGGTTTTAAATAAGTTATATAAAACAGAGATATATGATCAGGATTATTATTCTTATACTTCAAATCATTCCAAATACAAAATTATACATATATATTAACTATTATATAAAGATGTAAATTCGGATATAAGAAACGTCATAGACAACATTTCAAAAGATTAAAAATATCTCGTTCTTTAGAGATGCATATTATTAAAATATATTTGTAAAATTTAATTTAAAATTTTTTTTATTTGTAAAATTTTGTGATTTTTTTTTTACAGTGTATTCCTAGGAAACATAAAATCGGCTTACGACAAAAATCCGAAATTATCCAACTTATTGCTGGACGACTTCTTCGCCAAGGCTATGGATAAATGCCACCAGAGTGCCAGAACAGTGGTGAGCACTGCTGTGACGATAGGTATACCGACTCCTGCTCTATCGACGGCTTTGGCCTTCTACGATGGATTCCGAACCAGTCGATTACCGGCGAATCTGCTGCAGGCACAACGAGATTACTTCGGCGCTCACACGTATGAGTTGCTCGATCAGGAAGGGAAATTCATTCATACGAACTGGACCGGACATGGAGGGAAAGTATCCGCTTCTACGTACGATGCATAAATTCTCGCATAGTCAACAACCGTGACTGATAATGTACAAATATCTAAAAAAATGCGACAATATAGTGTGGTAAATACACGTAATTATGAACAATTACAATAATTGCATCAGTGATAACTGTGACAAAAAAAACTCGACAATATGACAAAAAAAACAACTTAACACGAGTGGTTCTATAATTGAAAGAAGTCATGTGTAACAAAATATTATTAAATAATATGTATATATTATTAAATAAATGTTATATTTTCTCTTTTCAGATATTTTCTGTTTTCTTTTTGATAAACATTTTTATTAATATATTATAAAAATATTTAAAAAAATCACAAAGGCTTATAATAAAAAAAGATACATATATCTTTATAAATATTGTAATGATATATTTCGAATATATGAATATATTCGAAAGGTTATTTAAAAGGAATATACATTTATGAATGAGAATGAATAAGATATTTTTTTTAGAAAGTTCCTAGAATGTTTTTACGTAAATTATCGTTAATTGCGACGTTTATTTCGTTTAAATTACGACTTTCGTACGCGCGTTCCACGAAGGTTGCACGTATATTTTAGGAAACAACGACTCAGAGAAGTAGGGAGAAGTTACGTAATTCGCAAGAGACATTAGTTGATTGTAAATGTCGAATGTCAACGAATAGGCGACTTGTATCGCTTGGTAAGATTATGCATCGTATAATCAAATAGTAAACAACGCAGTTGTGGACTCTGTTCCCACTTCAGGTGGAACTGCTGCAAACGCGGTTCTCAATCGTTCGACCGACGCGGGAATAACGGAGATGGAAAATCGCAAAAGAGCGGAGACGTGCGGGATCGAGCTAGTGAAACGCCGATTATGCAGCAGCGAATTCGTCATTACCGCATTTCTCTTCCTGCGTTCTTTAACGCGCACACGCGAAAATATTGGAGCATGACACTTTCAATCGCACGCCGACGTTTTCCCCGTGGCTTGCGAAACGCAAAGCGCGAACGGCGAGATGCAACTTTACGCAACTCGATTTTTCACGCGCTCTCTGCCGTAACCTGTAACACGATTTCGAATGACGAGGAAATTCATTACTCGGCTTCGAGACGCATCATCCGTTAGTGCTATTTTTTATGTCTGCGAAAATATTTAATGCGTGCGATACATGCCGCTCCAACTCACCATGATTTAATGAATTATTGATATCGGTTTCAAATATATGCTAAACTTTTTTTTTAATTCGATTTTGTTTTTTAATAAGATATTGATCTCGATGTTTCCTTCCTTTGATGTCATGCTTTTTTTTCAGGGAATATTATTAGCCAAGTTTTTATTTACTGTACATGTATGTTATATTATATTTTCGTAATGTGCTTCGATGTAATTTTTTATATATATATTTATATATTTATATATAAATATAAGTTATTCATTTTTATTTTATTTATTTATATTTATATTATATTTTTTTATATTTCGATGCGTGTATATATATATATATATCATTTATTCATATTGAAATATAAAATAACTTCTATTTGTATACACGATTATAGGTACGAATGTTAACATAATGATATAATTACTTTGCATGGTCAATTCTTTGATTGGTCAATTTATAAAATTAATTTTTTCGGATTGATCAATCAAAACTTCAAAGCATTAATTTATAGTGAGAAACTTTGACCGCATCCTATACCTCATATTTCATACACTAAAACTTTTATTACTTTTATTTATATTTCAATTACGCAAGCATGTAGCACGACAGTGTCAAAAATTAGAACTTGTCCGTTAAATTCCAAAAATACAAGGAATGACGATGGAAATAGTTCATTCGCTGCGTAACTCCGCAGGGGAAGAGATCTCCATGCAAAAAATTATGATTCTATCGTTGCGTATCCCGTTTTGCGACTAGTCGGCAATTAAAATTAGCGATCAAATGCGAATCAATGCTCTTTCGTTTGTTCTAATCTGTAGAGAGCGTGATTTTTTTCTGTGATAATATCACACGAGACAAAGACTATTCCAAATTGCCAGGCTACGTTTAAATGTCAGATGTGAACGCGCAAGTCTAAGCCAGCGGCTGAACTTTCTTATGATTCTCCCCTCTCTTTCTCTTTCTTTTTTTCTTCTAATCTTTAGGTACATATTTGTCTTATTATTGGAATTCGCTGGGAGTCTTCTGACATACAGTTCGAAAAGAATATTTTTCTTTTGTTTCTTTAGGCTTGTTCTTTTTCCCATATCCTAGGATTGAACTTCTGGCACAATTCATTTTTTTGTCTTTTTTCCTTTATTATGAATAGAAAAAGAAGACAGATGAACTGCGCAAGAAATTTAATCCTGGAGTATGGAAAAAGAACAGGTCTTTTATTATAGTCCAGTGAGTTCTATACAGGCTAGGTAAATGTTATACCTCATTTTATTATAGTATATTGAACGAGGTAGATGTATCTTTTTTGCAATGTAAATTAATTTTAATTTCGGTTTAATTTATTCTCTAACTTTTTTATTATAATTCTTAATAAATTCTAAAATAGAAAAAGATGAAGAATCAGTTGAATCGAGATTAAATTTAATTAGTAGAAACGGACATGAGTCGCATAAATTCTTGCATAGTTCATCTTTTTTCTTTTTTCTCCAACGTGGAAAGAAGAAGAAAGAAGGAGATGAATCGTACAAGAAATTTAGTTAAAAAGAATAAACTCATAATTGTTACTCTCGGTTTAATCCCCATTATGCATTTTTATAGAAAAGACTCATTCCAATATAAAGCTACTAATCTTTATAATTAAAACAATAGAGAATTAAGATTTAAATCTTTCCAGACAACCTGTCCAAAAAAACAGGCGTGTCTTAAAGATATTTTTCATAAAACACATCTTTAAAACATCTTCTGATCTTGACTTCATATTATTTAATTTGGACTTCATATTATCTAACTAGAAAACAAAGAACTAAAATTAAATTCTTTGCAGAAGTTCTACAGCGAACTCCATGGCGATCTCTCTTGATCATACATTTCTCAAGTACTCATCATCATTACATAGTCATTACAATCACTAACACCTTCAGAATTTTCTTATAAGTATTCTTTAATTTATATCAGATCCAGAAAAGTATCAGATTTTATTTTTCACAGATGAGAGCGAGAATAAAATTATAAATATTTAATCTTGTTCAAAGGATATACCAGGATATACTGGTCACGCGCGGATTAGGCCGCGGGGCAAGGAGACGGAGGAAGGGGCATCATCGCGCGTCGCGACGTCGGCCGATCATCGAGCCGATGACGGAGTAGATTGGAGTAGACGGAGAGCCGGGAGTGCCGGGACAGCGGTGCGGTATAAGATATTACCACATTTGCCGCTGTTTGCCGCGGTAGATAGTCCGCGCTCGCGGCAGCGCTCGCGTTCACGTTTGGAAAATGGCCGACCACAGGGAACGGGATTATTATACGCAGACGGATCTGCGTTCTAAGAACGACGACCCGCCGAACTCGCGTCTCTTCGTCATCTGCCACAAGAGTCTCGAAGAAGATGATCTCAGGAAAGCATTCGAGAAGTTCGGCAAAATCGAGGATATTTGGGTGGTTAAGGATCGTAACACGGGTGACAATAAAGGTGATCCTGCACTGCACGTTTTAGATAAAATCTAAAATCGATAAACTCCGATCTGTTCTATTTGTGGAAAAAAAGAAATTGCGCTTTCTTCTCCCTTTTAACGCGCGGCTTCTTTATTTCCGTCCTGGGAAAAATATCACCTTCGTGTTTCTCTTTTTGTGTACACCGGTGTATCTACTAATCGCTGTTTGCCTCTCAGGTGTCACATACATCAAGTTTTCTAAAACATCAGAGGCAGCGTTTGCTCTCGAGGAGATGAATGGCAAGATGCTAGGCTCTGTGGGCAGAGCTATTAAAGTGATGATCGCCTCAAAGTAAGTCCTCCTTGGTATCATTCACTTCATTTATATTTTAATATCATTCAAGATTTATAATTGTTGATACAAATGTCCATATCTAGAAATGTTATAATAGAATCTGATAACAAGCAGTTTTATTAAATGTATTGTTTCTCTTTATATACTTTATTTCGTTCTAATTTATGCATCTATCTATCTTATTTATTCTAACTTATTCCCATTTCTTCTAGTATAGATTGAATTTATACTGGATCTATACTGAATCTATATATTGAATCTTGGTTTTATTTGTGCTTTTTTTTGTTCTTAGAATTAGAAAATATGCAGAGTTAGTTGAACAGAGATTAAAATTAAACTACATTGGTAGAAATGGATATTACCAAAGTTGACAAAAATGATGGATCAATCAAAAATTCATTATTTCATAACCAAACTAGCTTATAAGCCGTAATCACACTACAGATTGTCGATTATGGTTGCTAGTTATTAGTTCTATTCAATTCTACAATATTTTAGCCAATCATGATGCAGCGATTGCAGATTAACTGCAACGTGATTGATAAAAATAGAATCAACAATCAGCAATCCATAGTGTAATCATGGCTACAGGAATCTTTATCCATGCTTATTGCTTTCCTTTTTCTTAATCCTTAGTATATGATAGGGTCATTCATGTCTTGCATATTTCTTTTCTTTGAAACTGAAGCACTTGAATAAAATAATGGTTTCTATTCTTTTTTTTTTTTAATACAACTTTACTTTTTACTTTTACTTTCTAAAGATGTTGAAGTATATGTATAAAGTATATATACTTATATTTACTTATATTTATATTTATTTCTATCATTATAGTTTAATTTTAGTCTCAGTTCAATTAATTCTTCTCCTTCGTTTAATTAAAAGAATTAGAAAAAGATAAAGAGTAAGTTGAACTGAGATTAAAGTTAATTTACATTGATAGAAACAGATATGAATAATTTTTGTGCTTATAAAAATTATGAAAATTAATCCAGGACTTATTATACAAACTGTGTTCCAAAATTGACTGCCTGTACTGAAAAACTATAGTGTACGAAACATAAACTGTCGTATTTTCAGTGTTGACAGTTTGGAACAGCCAGTAAAGAAACAGAAAATTATGATATGTATTAAAATTATTGGAGATAGAAAAAAGAAAGCAATAAACATGAATGCCAACACATGTCAAGTTAATATCTAGACTGTTCTAGAGTCTGGATATGTAGATTTAAACTGGCTTAATTGATTCGTTTTATGTACATCTGATTCTAATCAACGTTTTCAACTGATTGTTCTCAGTCGGGATCAGGGTTCTGTGCGAGAGACGAATGAAGAAGAGAGGTGGGTTCGCTTATTCTGTGTATTACCGAAAACAATGACTGACAACGAGCTGCAACAGGAATTCTCCAAGTTCGGTGCAATCGAATACGCGACTGTCGTGAAGGATCGCAGTACAAACGAATCCAAGGGCTTCGGCTATGTTAAGTTCAAGAAGGTATCTAGCGCAGCGCGGGCGTTCGAGGAGTGTGACAGAAAGTACAAAGCTGTGTTCGCCGAGCCGAAGAAGCCGAAGCCCGATCACAACGAGGCCAAGTACAATAATGGACTGTCTGGTACCACGTATGACAGTAGTAGTAGTTGTAGTTATGGCTCCTCAAACTTTGGCAAGAGCAGCATTAGCCTGGAGATTGCTACTAACTATTCCAATTCGGAAGGCTACACGCGTCTGCAGGTGATCGCACATCCGGCCTTGAATCAGGACCAACTGTGGAAGCTGTTTGACATAGTGCCTGGACTGGATTACTGCCATTTGAAGACCGACGTGAGATACAGGATGCCGCGCGGTCAAGCGGTGGTGGTATACAACAATCCGAGCGCTGCAGCATACGCGCGTGAAAAATTTCACGGCTTTGAGTATCCTCCTGGTCATCGAATGATCGTCAAGCCGGATCTGACTAGCGCGCCGCCGAAGAGCGCGTCGAAACCTGGTGGTTCAACAACCGGCAGCGTCGCTAGTGCAAGAACGGATCTGGTACACTTGGCGGAAACCATTGCTCAAGCTACATCATTAATTCAAGCTGCAGGTTTGACGGCACCGAGTAAGTAAATCTGACCATCTCGCCAGCGCGCCGAGGAAATAATATGTTGTGCATCAAGTATCGTTGTGTTTCTCATTTTTAGGCTTAGATCACATATCCGTGAAATTACCTCCGGTACAACCGATGGCGAGTATAGACGCTGAAGTTGCCAAGAGATGTTTCATCGTATGTGGCCCACCAGTGCCGCCTAT